GGTGTCGTGATGGGACTGCGGACGCGGACCTGTCCTCTCTCAGGGAGCTGAGGAGCGGGCGCGGAAGGCCGACCCGCCCTCGAGTCACACACAGACAGCGGAGCCACGGCAGACAGCGAGGGACCGGGGATCTGGCCAGCCCAGAGGAAGCATAGGAGCTATTTGTACTCGTCTTGCAACGTTTTTAGGAGCTTAAAATTTTTCAAAATGGAAAGTTTAAAAAAATAATTAGAATTACAAAGCCCAGACCCCCCCCAACAAAAAGAAGGAACGAAACAGACATGAGCCCACACAGCCCATCTCTCCTGCATGTGAGCACTGAGCCTTCAGAAACGGAGAACAGCCCCTCTTATAGCCACCCCCCAAATCGACATGGAGACCACCGAGGGCAAACAGAACTCATTGTAAAACACAGGGCTCTCTAGACCAGCGGTTCTCAACCTTCCTAATGCCGCGACCCTTTAATGCAGTTCCTCATGTTGTGGTGACCCCCAACCATAACATTATTTTCGTTGCTACTTCATAACTGTAATGTTGCTACCCCCTGGCCCTTGGCAGGGGCTCTGGGCAGAGGAGGCGGCCAGCACTGGGCAAGGGGCTGCTGCCCCATCACACGCTCATGGTCATCCCAGGCGAGTAACTTTCGCTCGGGAATGGGTGCAGGAAAGTCCCGGTGGCCGCCATCTCGCCGTCATCCCGCGGGGTGCCGGGGGCAGTGCTCAGGCCGGCCACGGCGCCAGTGGAGCTCTTCGGCAACCCGTCCATGTCGCCTGAGCCCAGAGATCCGTTCACGTGGTGAGGTTCCAGCGTGCTCATGGCTGCCATAGGGCCCTCCGGGCCTGGGCCCAGTGGGAACTGTGGCAGAGGGGTGGTGTGGGACTCTGGCCAGCTGCCACCAGAGCAGCCTCTACCCCACAACTCCGCACTTACGTTAGCCCTGCCAGCGCCTGGCCCCATGGGGTTCATGATGGTGTACATGTTCTCGCTGGAGTTGGTGGAGTCTCCAGGGCTGGGCATGATGGGTGTGCCAGGGGGCCCACCACCTCCTGTAGGTCCCGTGTAGCTGCCAGGGGAGGAGGCAGAATAGGGGATCGAGTTGCCACTGGGGCTGGCCCATGGGCCACGCACTCCGGGGCCCATGTTCATTGTGGGCAGGCCTGGGCCAGCGAGGGAGTTGGGTGGGGGCCCCATGCCACTTCCATAGCTCTGGGGCCCAACGCTGGCCATGCCCCGTGGAGGAGTCACCCTCTGCATCGGGCCCATGCTCGGATGCCCCTGAACACGCGGGGAGGGGTCCATGGCACCCGGGAGGGAGCCAGATAGGCCCACAGGAGGCTGACTCGGCATCCGCAGGGTGGGCCGGGGGCCCCCTGAGAACCTCGGTGACATGAAGGGCTGAATGTGAGGCCCCATCATGGGGGTGTTGGGGTTGTGGGGGGGCAGCTGGGAGCCCAGGGGGCCCTGGAAGAAGCCAGGTGCCATGGGGCCAGCTGCCATTGCATCGCTGGGGGCTATGCTCCCCATCACAGGGCTGGGGGCAGCGGCAGCGCTGTAGTCCTGGAAGGCCTTGGCCTCGCTTGAGTGCTCACATGCCTCTCTGCGGTCAGGCACTGCGCAGTACAAGTCCCAGAACACGCACCACCAGGAATGCAGGAAACCTGGGGGCTCCCCCAGCGTGATGTTCTTCTCCCATCAGATCTCAGACAGAAAGGCCTGTGCTGACTTCTGGGCACCGATGTGCAGCAGGTGCTCACACACATACAGCGCCAGCCAAGCTCCTGCCGCCGGGGAGTCCTCGCGACCCCCAGTCCCGCTCGGACCTCGCACGCCCCCTCAAAAGTCACGCCCTCGGGCCTCGCGCGTCCCCGCAAATCGCCCAGCCCTTCACGCCGCTGGGGTGCCCAGCGGTCCTCGAGTGTAGCGCGCCCCCCGCCCCCCGTGAACTCACACCCCTCAACTCTCAGGACCTCGCGGGTCCCGCACGCCCTCTCCAACCTTCCCACTTCGTGCGCCCCTAACCCCCGGAGGCTCGCGGGCCCCCTCAAGTCTTGCGCCCCTCGGGTCTCGCGCTCCCTCGCAAGTCTCGCGGCCCCCCAAATTGAACATAATTAAAGCATAGTGATTAATCACAAAAACAATATGTAATTATATGTGTGTTTTCCGATGGTCTTAGGCGACCCCTGTGGAATGGGCGTTCGACCCCCAAAGGGGTCGCGACCCACAGGTTGAGAACCGCTGCTCTAGACAAAGGAGCAACACGAAGGCCTTGGTCACTCCCAGTCAACGTGTCGACATAAAAGAAGGGGGTACAGCGGGAGGGGAGCCGCCCGGTTTGGCTCAGTGGATAGAGCTCTGGCCTGCGGACTCAAGGGTCCCAGGTTTGATTCCGGTCAAGGGCATGTACCTTGGTGGCCGGCACATCCCCAGTGGGGAGTGTGCAGGAGGCAGTGTGCAGGAGGCAGCTGATGGATGTTTCTCTCTCATCGATGTTTCTAACTCTCTATCCCTCTCCCTTCCTCCCTGTAAAAAAAAAATCAATAAAATATATAAAAAAAAAAAAGAAGAAGGGGGTACAGATCGGGCGTGTGCACAGCGTTTCTGTAAATATTTTGGGTTTTCATGCCACATGGTGTGTCTCAATTAAGCAGCCACACAGCATGTAAACATGGCGGTGTTCCAATAAAACTTTATTTATAAAAACAAAAAGCTGGCACCATTTGGCTCACAGACGGTAGTTTGCTGACTGGATCTAAACATGGCCGAGCTGGGCAAGCTGTTCACCAGACGTTCCCCCTTCTCCCTGGGCACGTGGCCCCTCCTGGAGTGGCCGGGACCCAGCTCTGGCCGCTGGCACATGAGCGGAGTGAGAGCTGCCACTTCGGGATCTGCCACCAGCACTGCCCCTCTGGGCCCTCCGCAGGCCCGGTGCAGGCAGACACAACTGCAGCCTGGAGCGCAAGCGGGCGGGCGGGTGTGTGTGTGTGTGTGTGTGTGTGTGTGTGTCACCAGCCGGTGCCTGCGGGTCCTGATGCCCATGTGAAAGGTGCCCTGGACACAGACAGAAACGCTCTCCTGGAACTCCCCGCGAGCGAGATGCTGGAGCTGCCACTTCTCCACCAGAACAGCTGCCGCCAGAGGTTGGACACGTACACAAACACTCCGCCAACGCACTGCGCTGGCTCCAGAGCCGACGGTGTCCTCGCGGGAGTCAGCTTCCCGAGGGGCAGACACCACTCCACAGTCACAGACAGCGACAGCCACACTGGCAAGGGCCACCGGTGCGAACAGTGTCCCTGCCGACGGCGGGCGGGACGGCTGGCACACCAGCACGCACACACGCTTAAAAAGGCCTTTATCAATGTGCAAGGACAGAAGCACCGCGCTGCGAGGGAGGGCTGGCTCCCACACAGCCACCCACACCCACGCACACCGTCACCCGGCTGCTCGGGGCCCCCACGCCAGTAAGGGCCTCCTCTCGCCTGCCACCCCAGGGCCGTCTCTCAGAACTCGATGGTGGAGTGACACGGGATGTGCAGTCCACCTGACCTGCGTTCAGAGCGACAGAAACAAGGGACTGATCAGCCCAGCCAGCAACAAGCCTTCCAGGAAGAGCGGGGCGCAGGTGCCTCCCGCACACCGGCACCCGCAGGCAGCTCCATCTAGTGGGCCAGCCAGGGCCCAGGCCCGACCAGCCCCGCTCAGTCTCTCACCGGGAAGGAAACTGCAGAAACAGTACTTGTGCCCGGGGTGGCGGGGCCAACGGAGGTGGTGGCCACACGCGTGCCCAGACACCCACAAGCGTGCCCCTCTTCACAGGCACCGCAGGCAGCAGCACACGTGGCTATTTAAACCCAGATTAACTGAAAAACTAAACAAAATTGGGTTCTTCAGTCCATCTACACACGCCCAGGCTAACCGAGACCGGCCGCGCCGAGAGCGCCCCACCACCGCGCAGGGAGATCTCGACTCTCCACGGGGCCTGCCGGCTAACGCAGGTGGGCAGGCCCGGGAATCTGCTCCCCCCAGGGTCTGCAGAGAAAGTGCCACTGCAGAGGCAGCGCGTGTCCCCCCCGTGGCCTGGTCTGCGTGCAGCCGACAGAGGGCGGCGGGCGCCTGGCCGGAGCAGCGATGCTTTCCTTGGCCTCGGCCTGGTGAGTCACTGTTCCCGGCTGCGGGGAGCTCCCTGCCAAGCGGCCGGACGCTGAAGTCCCCGGGGTGGAGGGAGGAGCAGCTCTGGGCAGCTTTCCTGTCCACAGGCTCCGGCCGGCTGCTCTGTCATGAGCTCCATCAGGTTTCACTTGACTGTTCTTTCCAAATCGGTTCGGAATTAGTTTCCACCGACTCTCTTTCCAGCCGTCGCTCCTGGTAGCATCTAGGAGGCTCCGTGACGGCATCAGCCACCTGGAGCCCAAGCATTTCTGGAGAGGCCTCCCCGCGCTCAGCCTGAGCCTGAGCCTGAACCACGCACGGCTCACAGGGCCTCCTCCCCGCAGCTCACCGCGTGGTCGCTCGGCTCCCACGGCACGCCCACCAGCCAGCTGACAAAACGGGGCTCAGACTTCCAGCAGGAAGCTGTACAATTACTTTTTGAGTCCGATATGCTGCCCCCCAACCCAGAACATCTGTGAGCCGGAGCAGGCGAGTCTGGGAGGGCTGGGGCGGCTGGAGCACGCCGGCGTCTCCCTGTCCGCTCGGGAAGAGAGAGTCACAGAAAGCAAAGCCTTTTCCGAGGAGAGAGGTCAGCCCGCCCGCCGTGCAGCACCGATCCACGGGGAGGAGGCAGGCGAGAGCGTCCAGGAGAGCCAGGCAGCGGGAGGAGGCGACTGCCTGCGCTCACCCGAGCGGCGCCGTGCGCAGAGGTTTCCCGAAGATCCCCGCCGAGGCACCTTCCCAGCAAACCACCAGTCACTGGCACCCGAGGACTGGCATGGCTCCATGCCCCCCCTTGGCCCCCACCTGCGGCTGGAGGGAAAGCAGGGTGTCCTCCGGGAACCAGCTGGGAGAGGACTGGCTACGGGGAATAGCAAATGATCGGCAGGTGGGCAGGCCCCGTGAACTAGCCAGGGCTGACACACAGAATACCAAGCTTCAGCCAGACGCGGAGCCTCTGTGTGACTTCTCACTTCCATGTACGGTGTCACTCAGCTCTTAAAGCAAATTTAAAACTTAAACTACATCGAAAGGCCTGGCCCTTCAGGTAAAAGATGTATTCAGAACCAAGACCGAGCGGCGGCCTGTAGGGGGCAGTCCAGGGTCACTCACTGGTGCCGTTTAGGTCCACCCTGCAGCGGCCGGCAAGGACCAGCTGTCCAATGGGGGAGGCATCAAAGGAGACGTTGTGGCCCAAAAGGCACGCATGCTCCTCGCTGGGCACTCCATCTCCTCACGAGGCGGGACTCCCCCTCTCCCCGCACACGCTTACCTGGCGGGCAGGACTCCCCCCCTCTCCCCGCACACGCTTCCCGGGCGGGACTCCCCCTCTCCCCGCACACGCTTACCTGGCGGGCAGGACTCCCCCCCTCTCCCCGCACACGCTTCCCGGGCGGGACTCCCCCTCTCCCCGCACACGCTTACCTGGCGGGCAGGACTCCCCCCCTCTCCCCGCACACGCTTCCCGGGCGGGACTCCCCCTCTCCCCGCACACGCTTACCTGGCGGGCAGGACTCCCCCCCTCTCCCCGCACACGCTTCCCGGGCGGGACTCCCCCTCTCCCCGCACACGCTTACCTGGCGGGCAGGACTCCCCCCCTCTCCCCGCACACGCTTCCCGGGCGGGACTCCCCCTCTCCCCGCACACGCTTACCTGGCGGGCAGGACTCCCCCCCTCTCCCCGCACACGCTTCCCGGGCGGGACTCCCCCTCTCCCCGCACACGCTTACCTGGCGGGCAGGACTCCCCCCCTCTCCCCGCACACGCTTCCCGGGCGGGACTCCCCCTCTCCCCGCACACGCTTACCTGGCGGGCAGGACTCCCCCCCTCTCCCCGCACACGCTTCCCGGGCGGGACTCCCCCTCTCCCCGCACACGCTTACCTGGCGGGCAGGACTCCCCCCCTCTCCCCGCACACGCTTCCCGGGCGGGACTCCCCCTCTCCCCGCACACGCTTACCTGGCGGGCAGGACTCCCCCCCTCTCCCCGCACACGCTTCCCGGGCGGGACTCCCCCTCTCCCCGCACACGCTTACCTGGCGGGCAGGACTCCCCCCCTCTCCCCGCACACGCTTCCCGGGCGGGACTCCCCCTCTCCCCGCACACGCTTACCTGGCGGGCAGGACTCCCCCCCTCTCCCCGCACACGCTTCCCGGGCGGGACTCCCCCTCTCCCCGCACACGCTTACCTGGCGGGCAGGACTCCCCCCCTCTCCCCGCACACGCTTCCCGGGCGGGACTCCCCCTCTCCCCGCACACGCTTACCTGGCGGGCAGGACTCCCCCCCTCTCCCCGCACACGCTTCCCGGGCGGGACTCCCCCTCTCCCCGCACACGCTTACCTGGCGGGCAGGACTCCCCCTCTCCACACACACACACACACACACACACACGCACACGCTGATCCAGGACAGCGCAGTGACGAGGTGCCAGCCATACAGACTGTCAGGAAACGAGCACCTCCTTCTAAACACTTGTGTTTGGGGAACAGCTCCTTTTCATAAGCAGTCATTTCTGAAGTAGGTGTGCACAGTCATTGCTGTTCTTGAATAGGATGGCGAGGACACGTTCTAGTCTCTCAGTTCTACTTTCTAGCAGAGTAGCACACAAACCCACACCAGCCCAGCTCTTCGGGGACAACCGGGTCCGGCCGAACACCTTGCGAGCTGCGGGAATAAACACAGGTGGGCGCCAGGGACCGTGCCCCTCGGCAGCGGGGGGACCTCACAACACGGGGCCCCGCTGAGCCCAGGCCTGGCCCGAGGGGACAGGGGCCCCGAGCCTTGGGCAGGGCAGCCGTGTGCTGCACACGGGCATCGGGGAGGAGCGTCCTCTGAGGGGACACGGAGGACGGCATGGCCTGACACGTTCCAGGTGACAGCGGGCAGAGGGGTCCTAGTCAGAGCCGGGAAACACCCCCGCCCCCTGCGGGGTGCCTGGGCATGACGCCTCGAGGGGACCACCGCGAGCAGCATGAGTGGGAGTAGAAGTGTCTGCGACCGACCCACCCCAGCTCATCCCACCACGTCCAAGGACAGCCACATGGTCCACGGGCCGGAGTGGGCACGGGAGGCCCGAGGGCGCGACCACGGGGCCACCCCAGCAAACCAGGGGACACACGGCTCTCCCAGCCTCAGTCGGACTCGTGGCGACAGCCACATGCCTTCCCGCTCCCCTCTGCACACGGCGAGGTCTGCTCACACTGTCCCATTGTCCCCCCTCCATCCGCCCGGCAGCTGCCCAGGCGGCCAGGAGCTCCTGGAGAAGGAGCCGCAGCACCGCCCGCAAAGCCGCTGCCAGGAGGCTCCCCCTCCTGCCCTGGAGGCGCTGGGAATGGAGGTGGTCATGGAAACCAGGGGCTGCTGTCAGTGGGGCTGTCATTAACTTAGCAAGTCCTTCCCGACGCCCACGAGGCTTGCGAACAGCGGAGTAAGTGCTGCGTGTCCACGTCCGGTGCCTCCTGGCCTCCTCCGCACACACTGCCACGCGGCCGTGTCTCTCAGAAGCGCGAACGGGGACACGGCAGAGCCCCTCACACCTCTCCGCGCCGCCCGCCGTGCCAGAGGGCGCCATGAACCCACTCTGCACCCAGCTCCACACACACCCTGACAGCACCCTGCGGCTTCTGAAACGCGATATAAATGTCCTCGTGGGGTGACAGGCCCCAATCTCCAGGTGAACTGCGCTCTGGAGAGAGTGGTACCGTCCTCAA